AGACTAAAATGGAGGAGATTAGATGAGCGCCAATTGTTGCACCGATCAGAGATGGGCGGGAAATGGGGGGTGAGAAAGGGAGAGAGAAGCATACGGGGACCATGCTAGTGAGGTGAGTAAGTAGTATGGAGTCGTCGTGGTGGTTAGTTCAATCCTATTGCATGCGCTCGTTTTTTGCCCAGGCGGGGCTGGAGTGGTACCAGTGACATTGTTACCACTAAGATTCAGTATGGGAAGCAGAGGTATACAGGACCTTACCCAAGGGAAGTTCTGCATGGCCAGCGGCTGCTGTCAGGGACCTTTCCCGCCGGCTCCTCAGGCCTGATTGGCTTCCGGACTGCAGAGGGCGTTTCTTCACGCTGCAGGCCTCATCACTCGGTTGTGCCAATCAGCGCCCGCACCCGCCCTAGAGTCGCCCTCAAGTGACCTGCTCGGCGCGTAAATGAGCACTCTGACTGGTATCGTCAATGCGTCCCCTCGACTGCTCAATCCATGTGGCCAGTAGGATTGTGGCTAATATTGGGTGATGTGCAGTGGAACTTCGAATCACATCCCTCGACGTGCTGGGGACGGAACTACTGAGGTACGTGATATACTTGGGTACTTACGTGGATGCGAACACTGAAATAGTACGCAGAAGGACCGAAATAAGCAGGAAACATACTAAAAATCCTCCGTTAAGATGTGAAAATGGGAGGGCACATCCCAGGTGATGTCCTTGAACCTTGAACATAAACCGAAAGAGCCATCACTACATGTGCCGTAAGGCTGCCCATAATCGTTACCCTGATCTGAATTGCGCTCACCCTTCGCGAAATGCACAGGGTGGCGCTACATAGTACAATAAACATACGGTGGCGGTGTGAAAACCGCGGGTACTCAGGTTCACAGTACTAGTCCCACGGGTATTTCCAGACTGATAATATACATTGGTATCATGATGAGTGGGAACATCATCACCGTGTACACAACCAGAGACGTTTCCTTTGGAAAGGCCGGATACCCAAGATGGTCGCAGAATAAAGTACATTTATCGGCGATTTATTTGACACTTACAGGAGCTAACGATCTGAACGGTCGGTCACAGTCGGAGCTGGTGAGACAACAATTCTACGCACACCCGGTAAGAAAGTATACGGAGTATGGAGTCCAAAATAGCCCTTTCCACAGATGGACACGGCCTGTGCATGCAATGTGATGTGATTAAGTAGAAGCTGCGTGGTGACTGGTGTCCTTCGGGACTAGTGGGAGGTCCCGGGGCTTAGACATTGCGGGGTGGTCGAGGAGCTCGGACGGTGATGAGATTTTGCCTCTTCCTTGGATGTGATAAGAAAAGCGTCGGGAGACGCAGGCATTCGGCCCATGCTAATCCTGGCGGACTGAGAGTGACTGAAATTTATCACCCAACAAGATGCCTTGTGCATGGTAGGATTCAATCTGTGTCACGCTCGGAACAATGGCATTGTGGTTATCCAATATGAAATCGAATGCTCCTTAATTAGAGCCAGAGTGCAACTGTACACTTGGGCCTGTACGTTGCTTTCGATGATGCCAACGAGAATCCCAAGAAGCTCTAGATTTCCAGTATGACAGACGGGCATGCCGTGCAACGCGACAGGCGGTCACGGGTAGATCACATGATTACGGAGCTGCTTGGCTCTGGCTATCACGGCAAAATATCGGCCCGTGATCTGATTTTCCGCCTTCTCCAAAATCTTCTGGGTTCAACAATATCGATAGCAACGAATATCAATCCCATTCTCCGCTGCTTTACTTTTTCTCCCTGTTTAGCGGTCAAGGCCTATTGTCAACAAAATGGGTGTGCAAAAGAAGACTCGCAAGTTCGCGCAGGTATGATAACAAGGCTTTACAGTCGATGCGGAACGGAAACTGATCCTACTGAATCTATAGATGAAGCGCGCCATCAAGGCCCGCGATGAGCGACTGAAGAAGCCGGAAGCGAAGAAGGAGACGCCTAAGGAGGATCAGCTGACTCGCCAAGTCACCCAAGCCCCTTCGAACATGTTCTTTGCCGCAAACACTGCCCTTGGCCCTCCCTACCACGTGCTCGTCGATACCAACTTTGTTTCCCACGCTATCCGAGCGAAGCAGGATCTACTTACTTCGATGATGGACCTGTGAGTTGCACACAATATCTGGGCTTTGGACATCTGCTAAGACTGGCTACAGGCTATACGCGAAGTGTGTTCCGACCTTCTCAGACTGCACCATTGCGGAATTGGAAAAGTTGGGTGACAAGTACCGCCTCGCACTTCGGGTTGCCAAAGACCCTCGGTGGTCTAGGGTCAAGTGCTCTCACAAGGGTACCTATGCAGATGACTGTATCGTGGATCGGGTGAGTGGTTACTCAAACCCCTTCGTTTGGGGTACCACAGCGCGCTAACGGCTCTTGTAGGTGACGAAGCATAGAATTTACATTGTGGCGACCAACGATCAAGATTTGTGTCGCCGTCTGCGCAAGATTCCTGGTGTGCCCATCATGAAGGTTGCAAGGGGCAAATTCACCATCGAGAAGTTGCCCGATGCTTTGGATTAAGCCTTGGTTTTTTCGAATTGCTGAAAGAAATGGCAAAAGATAAGATGTGTTTGATACCACGCCATAGCATGACGTTTTACGAAGATATACCCAATTACCGCTTACAAGCGGACGCGGATTCAGTTCGTCTTCAGCCTACAAACGGGGCGCTCGTCTGGTCCCGCTGCGTCCGAGCAGGATCATCCTGTTTGATGCAGTACAAGTCAATGCGATGGCAACACTACCTGGCAGGCCGGCTCGAGTTGCACATTGGCTTGCGACGTGCATGCGCCTCGCCTCGGCTGGACTATCTCGATGACCAGATTGTCCCGACGACCGCCATAAGTCCATGCGCGCGGTGGACGTGACCAAGCGAGACAGGCGGAAGCCGGAAATTCGGAGAGCTTAGATAGCAGATAGATAGATGGTCAGTGTCGGCGGTCCTAGCCTGCATAATTGAAGCTAGAACCGAAGAACATCATAGTGCGCTTTATGATTTCCACGCTTACCCCGAAATACTAGCTATATTTCGTATCTATTCCCGAACAATAGATAGTTGTCCGGGTGATTCTGTACGCAATCAGGCCATGGCCACATCACCAATTACCCAGTTGCGTTGACATCTAAAGTAGTTAGAAGCATTCGACCAGAAGAGGAACGATTGATGGCTATGAAAGGCCCCAAAGTATGACTCAATGCCTCCTCCGCGTGCGGGGAACTGGTTCCAGAAACGCTTATCATCCCCTCAATCCCCGCCAACAACAACAACATCATCATCACCAAATCACTCAGTACTTACATACTCACAACCCAATCAATCCACAAAGACAGTACCAGCCACAGCATAATGACTGAAAAAGAAACCATCGTTGTAATAGGGTACGTCCCATCCCAATGCCAGTGTCACCCCTAAACCAAACCGAAAACCACTAACCACCCCACCCATTGCAACCAAACAGAGCCGGCATAATCGGCCTCTCCACAGCCCTCTACATCCAACAACACCTCTCCCCATCCCAACGCGTTCTCCTCGCAGCTCGGGACTTCCCCCACAGCACATCCCTCAACTACGCCTCACCCTGGGCAGGCGCCCACTATCGTCCGGTCCCCGGCTCCAACGCCCAACACACCCGAGAGGAAGCACAAGCCCGACGCACCTACGCGCACTTCAAGACACTCGCGGCCCAGGAACCGGGTGCGGGCGTCCAGTCCATCACTGGTATCGAGCACCTCGAGAACCCGCCGGCGGAGTACCTCGACGAGAAGAACATCCAGGCTTCGTATGGGCATCTGGATGGGTTTGAGTACTTACGGCCCGAGGAGGTGCCGGGGGATGTGAAGTGGGGAGTAAGGTATAAGACATTCGTGGTGAATTCGCCTGTGTATTGTTCGTGGTTGTTGCGGGAGTTTGTCTTGAGGGGTGGGGAGGTGAAGGAGTATACGTTTGTGGATTTGAGGGAGGGGTTTTATCTTGCGGAGAGAGTGAGGGCGTTGGTTAATTGTTCTGGGTTGGGGTTTGGGGATGAAAAGAGTTATATCATTCGGGGTGAGTGATGATGATGGTGAAAGTGATGGTAATGGCTGACTGGCTATTCAGGGCAAACGTGTCTGGTGAGGAATCCTTGCTCGGCGACTATCACTCGACAGAATAGCGATGGCTCGTGGTCCTTCTGTATCCCGCGCCCGTTGGGTGGTGGGACGATTATCGGGGGCACGAAGCAGCCGCATAATTGGGATCCTAACCCGTCGATGGAAACAAGGGCCCAGCTACTGGCGAATGCTGCCAAATGGTTTCCCTTCCAGGAGGGAAATAGAAGAGAGTTCGATGTTATCCGTGACATTGTTGGTCGTCGACCGGCACGAGAAGGGGGCATGAGAATTGAGGTGGAGAAGATGAACCAAGGTCAGGGGCTGATCGTTCATGCATACGGAGCCGGGGGTCGTGGATTCGAGTTGTCCTGGGGTGTGGCGGAGGATGTTTACGATTTGATGCGACAAGAAGAATTGCTAAAGGAAAAGGCCTCGCTATAAGGTCGTCCAATCGTGAGGTCCACCTTACTACAGAAACTTTTCGGCTATGGTGCTAGAGTAAGTATATTCGGCTTACGAAGCTATGTTTGGAATGCTGCATGACAGCTGCAACTTCAGTAAGAGGAAGATGATACAACTTTTCGTCTATTGTTCGTAACATTAATTATCACGGATTATGGTCGCCACGGACATTAAAGCATATCCAAACATCGGAAGGCTCATTCACACAGGTCAAGACTCCCGGTCGCCAGCGGGTCGCTTGAAGAGATGGTAAAATTCATGAGGCTCACATTGACAGAGTAAGGTGGCTTAAAGGCCAGCATTGTCAACAGGTTTAGATGTTGTGTGCGTGGCCATTGGGATCGTTCTGGGCTAAATCAGTAAGTTTTAGAGGACACAAACAGCACTCATACCTGATTCCGGGTCGGACTTTCTATGGCGAAGGAGCCAATGGGGCCCAATTGCTGGGCTGAGTGTTTCCGCAAATCTGGAGATGATCATCCGGTATGGTCATATTCTGCAGCTGGTCCGGCGCTTCGATAATGATCGCCATGAGGCGGATCTCGACGTGCCACTCAATGTGGCAGTGGAACATCCAGATGCGTAATTGACCGATCAACGTCAGTTTGGGGACACCAACTTGTAGGGAGGGAATACTTATCAGGATTCATTGCACGGAATCTAATTACGAAATGTCCCATGGGTTCCACCATGAGCGTATCTCGACGCATGGGAGTGGCAGAAACGTTGCGGTAGCCATCGAAGAAGCCACCGTACGGGTAAGTGCGCTGGAGCACCTGGAAATCATGACCGTGGAGATGCCACGGGTGGAGATTGTCATGGTGGTTGTTGAGAACGATCTCCACCACATCACCATAATTGACGACAAAAGGGTTCACATCTCCATAGAGTTCTGGGTCCAAGCAGGCCTCGGGGTCAGAATAGATGGCAGTATACAGCGTGGGCGAGTCGGGGGCATTATATGTCATGTTGTTAATGCTGTAGGCGGGCTTTCCATCTACTGTGGTTGGGTAGACGTCGAAGATGAATTGATGTTGTATGGGGTCGATCAGAGGAAGATTGTCTATCGGTGTTAAGGTCACATCGTCGAGGAAGTCCAGACTTGCATTATTGACATGAATTATAGGCGCAGGAGGCAAAGGAGCATCCTCGTTGTACATGAGCCATGCGGTGCCGTTGGGATTGTACCCTGGAGGTGGGCTCCTTCCCTCTTGAACGAACATTTCATCGATATCGAGACCGTCCCAGATCGCATAGTTCTTGCTAGTATCATTTTTGGTGGTGAGAAGGATGTCGACTCGTTGTCCAACGGCCATACGCAGATACTGGGGTGGAAGGAAATGCGGTTTCACTGCAATGCCATCCATACCAACAATGGTCATGTCGTGGTCGTCAATGACGAGCGCATGCCCGGGAAAATTGCCCATGCAGACAACGTGGATCAGGTAGGTCGTGCCGGGCTTAACGCTGATCTTGGTGTTATGCATGTCATTGAACAAAATCGCATCAGGTAGCGGCTCCTGACCTCCATAGGGGGCATGGTCTCCTGGAACTATGAATTGATCGAGCAAGATGGGTATCTGTACATGATACCAATCGGATAAGGTGAGAGTCATCTCCTCGTCATAGTGATACGGGGCAGGAACATTGTCGTGCACGATGATGGGTCCGCGCAAACCATCAGGATACTGACCCGGCTCGTGCGAGTGGTACCAATATGTACCGGTTTGGTTCATCTAGATCCATGGGTCAGAAGGCGCAGTTCAGGTACTGATCCAGCAAGCAGGGTCAGCTTACCGGAACAACGTAGCGCATGCGCTGATTGGGGTGGAGCTCGCATTGGGTGACCCCTGGGACACCGTCCATGTACCCATTGTAGTTCTGATGCAGACCATGCCAATGGATTCCGGTGGACTCGTTACCTAGCCCGTTGTACACGTCGACGATGAGATTATCGCCAACATCGACATCAATTTGGGGACAAGGCCAATGTCCGTTAATGCCGATCACAGGCCTCGCATACCCATCAGGTGCTGCAGTCACCCAAGTTATATTCCAATCCAGATACACATCTTTGCTCAATGCCTGTTGGACGAACCCGTACAGGCCGAGCGTTGTGAGGGTTCGGATCATTGCCGCGGCTTCGAGTATAGCATTCACCGGATGCGGGCGCAGACTGTTGGAGCAATTCCTGAAGGAAGGTCGAAAATAAGTATGTACAGAAAATTGCTCGGACTACTATATTATGGACAAAAAGTTAGATCAGCCCGCGGAGCAACAAGGAAAGCAACCCTTGGCGATATGGATGCCTCGTCGGTGTCGCCGCCACGGCATCAGATCCAAACAAACATTTCTCGCATGGCCGGACAGCAAGCCTACAAATGAGCCGATCCGATGCGAGTCGTGCTTTTAGTCGCCGCTCGGGAGAAATCATTCCAGCATAGACATAGAATGCGAGCATGTAACCTGTCCTTGCTTCAAGGGATGAGGAAGGAGAAGTAGGGAGTCGACTAGCTCCTCCTACATGCAGATACCTTCCCGGTTCAGTGATGCAAGATGCCCCGGCAAGAAAATTCCTGAGGTATTGGCACGCTTGTCTGGCTGTGGATAGCTGAATATATTGACGCCTAATGGCGGTTACTTCAGCTATGAAGGGGGTCACATCTCAAGGCACTGTGCGATAAATGTCCGCGCTATTGATGCAACGGGGCACTCCCTTCAACGTCGTTGTCTGTAGGCTAGCCCTTGGTGCCTTCCCTATAGCTTCCATACTTTGTGTTCCCCTTCTCGTGCCGATAAGGTTTTGGGAGTCTGCGGCCTGGGGATACATGGCCTCTTTTGGAAAAGCATATCTGCTTTGTCGAGACCGACGATAGCACGGCGCAGGGACCGAGACCTTGAACCAGCGAACAATGCTTCCTCATCCAGACCGCGGCAGCAGGCATTGGAATGCGCCTTCCGCCTTGGAATCGGGGGGATGCAAGGCATTCACTTGATGAGAAGACTACCGTGTTGGAATATGCCCTGTTCACCCAAAGGCAGTACATATTTGGGTCCACCAGGTGGCTACCACGATGTTCCCAACATCAAGCACTTACATGAAGTATTTCTAACTCTAGTTAAGCTGCAATGAGTACAACATGTACCCCAACCAATCACACCCATCCTCGGCAATCGACCGCTTCGATCTACTTCAACCGTACAGTAACACATACTTCAAGAAGTTTAGGCGCCCGAATTAGCGGTCTCTTCCCTTCCAAGTACATACTTTTGGTTGGTCTCGAACATGGATGCCTGGGAGTCGGAGCATGATCCGGTATAGCGGAAGGTCGTGAACATGGCACATTGCAGGCAAGGGAGTTTCAGCTACGGTTACCTAAAGCAAACTCTCATCCAAACCTCTGTCAGCGGAACAGCGTGTCAAGCCTTACCGATTGTCCGAGACCCGAGACAGACGGTGACGCCCCTTGATCCCTCAGCAGCTGTGGATTGGTCAGCCCCCCTGCGTTTGTAGCCCTAAGCACCCTCAATAGTTGGTTCTGATGTCACAAGATTCGGAGTAGAGTTCATGTGTACCCCAGTCGGCAGGTTTCGCCGTGAGGACCTTACATTGAATGAGCTACGTTTAAAAGGGTTCTTCAATGCTGTCTCCCTCCTGATCTGTACATCTTCACACCGTCTACTTAAGACTGGACGACACGAGAAAGCAAACACCATGGCTCCTTGGATCCTCGGCGAGAAGTTCAACACCGTTTACCCCCACAAGGGCTCTATCAAAGCTCTCTGGGAGACGAAGTGGAAGTTTGCGGTAAGTTTTGCTGGTGGTCGGCATCACCACCCCTTGCTCAGTGGTTGGCCAGCCGTCAGGCAGTCCTTATCTAACGTAGCATGCAGTGTGAGAAATCCGTCTACCCATTCCACGACGGTGCCATCGAAGACTTTCGACCTATCTTCCAGAAGCTTATTGATGTAGGTTATCATGATCTTGCCATGTGCCCCTTATTAGCGCAAGGGTAACATGCTCACTCTATGATAGGAAAACATCAACGATGCCTACACAGATGCCTACACACAGGCTTTCTTCCCGGTTGCCGAGGCCCTGGAGAATAAGGCCTCAGCTGCTTTGAACAACAACAATGTAGAGATGGCATCTGACCTGCTCCGGAGAGCTGCTGTGGTCTACCGCATCTCCCGCTTCCCATATGTCGATCCGACTAGAGAGGATATCAAAAAAGAGGCCTTCAACCGACAGAAGAAGGTGTATCTGAAGGCAGCTTCCTTTTGGAAGCCCACCATCCAGGAGGTCATCATCCCGCACAAGCATAAGTCGGCCACCGACGGTGCCTATGTTCCCCTCTTCGTTCGTGTCCCGGAACATGCGACGGCAGAGAACCCCGTCCCAGTTGTTGTGCTAATGACCGGCTTGGATGGTTACCGCCCTGACAACAGTCAACGCACCCATGAGATCATCAACCGGGGTTGGGCGACAGTTATCTGTGAGATCCCCGGTACCGCGGACTCGCCTGCCGACCCCAGCGACCCGGAGTCGGCGGACCGTCAATGGACCACCGTTCTCGACTACATGGCAACTCGTCCGGAGTTCGACATGTCCCGGGTTGCTGCCTGGGGTCTGAGTGCTGGTGGGTTCTACGCGATCCGGGCTGCACATACCCATCGTGATCGCTTCGTTGGAACCCTCGCCCACGGACCGGGGTGCCATTACTTCCTGGACCCCGAGTGGTTGAGCCGTGTCGATGACCACGAATATCCATTCTTGTGAGTACTGTGACCTCATCTGCCATTGCCAGAGACACTAATGGCACCTTCGATAGGCTCACTCCTGCCTGGGCTAAGAAGTACGGCTACTCCAACCCGGAGGATTTCAAGAAGCATGGCCAGAAGAAGTTCTCTCTTCTCGAGACAGGCATCTTGGATCAGCCTAGCTGCAGACTGTTGCTGCTCAATGTAAGACCTGTACACTCTCAAATTTCTAGATTGGATACTAACTCATGCCACGCAGGGTGTGGATGATGGCGTTACCCCCATTGAAGACTGCCTGATGCTCTTCAACCACGGAAGTCCCAAAGAGGGAAGGTCAGTCAGCTCAAACCAATTCTCTATATACCTAGTACCTAACCATCCCTTTCCACAGATTCTTCCACGGCCTCCCTCACATGGGATACCCTCACAGTCTGGTCCCGTCGTACAAGTGGTTCGAGGATGTTCTGCGCTCACCGCAGGAGCCTCTTAAGAACTGAAAAGGAGGGTTATTCCCAGTGCGTCGTACATATATTTATACTTGATATATATGTGAACGGCCAACTTCCGACTGAATGATCGACAATGAAAGTGATGACTGCAATGAGATGAGAACATGGGTGTCTCTTACTTGGTCTGCAAAATCTTTACATGTCGCTTTAGTAGTAAAACCATATTCTGACTATCTTTCTGCCTGTCTTTGTGATCGCAATGTCCTGACCAGAATTTGTTAAGTATTGGCAATATGACTTTTTGTACTCTGGTCCCCCAAGCCGTAAAAGAAGGTTCTCAAATCAGCTCAGGGCAGTAATTTAACTCCCTCTTAGAACTAAGAGTCATGGCCATCTGAGTGATAGTCAAGCTCTTTCCCCACCTCCCTCTCAATGACCCGATCTGAGACACGATTTAATAGTCACCAATTTAAGTTATCTCCAGACCCTGTTTTGCTTGATACTACGTAGCTTAAGTTTCCAAGACAGTTTCACTTTTCCAGCCCCCTTGCAGATATTATATGTTCCCATGTCTTTAGTAGTAACTTACGCTCAGACATGGTTTCAAACTCAATGGCTTCCCCTCTCTACTCTCTCTCGACTCCGCCTCTTCGTCTGTCTGGGTAGTACGGAGTATTAATACTGTACTTCTTCTAGATGAGAACAACACCAACTCAGAACTTTCCACAACTATCTATTTGTGGGATTGTTCCCATTGTTTACGTTGTCATTATTTATCGTGCATATTTCCCCACAAATAGTTTGATAAGATGACTGTGTGCTTTATCCCACCTCCGCTTTCAACTACCTAGCCAGCTAAGTAACAGCTAAGTATAATACCCCGTCTCGAACATCTCATGTTCCCAACTGGCCAAGATGAAAGATGACGTGCCGAAGAGATTGTTGTATTCGATGGGTCGGGTGGTATAGTACTTCAACAAAACCCCGTTAACATTCTCTCTCCCAAATCAAGGGGGGGGGGAAAGAACGGCCTGGAAGAAAGAAAATACATACCTCAAAAGTAGGATCATACAACCCACAATCCGCCACAGTGCCATTATACCCCAACGTACCATCCGCCTCCTCTTTCACGAACTCGCTCAGCAAATAATTGTAGCACTTATCCGCCGCATCCGTATACGCGACCCCATTCGGCGTCTCGCCCTGTAAATACCCCAACCTAGCACCTTTGAGCAATCCATACACGAACTGAGCTGATCCACTTGATTCAATGTAATTGCCCTCTTCCCCACCGTGCAACATAACCTGCCACCAGCATCCAGTTTCTTCATCGGCGTCGTTGATGATCGTGTTAGCGACATTCCAGTATTTCGTGTAGACGTCATCGCGCTGCGTCTCGTTCAGAATGGCGCTGTTTTTCCCAGACCGTTCGAGCAGGTCTACTAGCGTCATGAACCAATCGCCTAGGGCGCGGTTCCAGACGTAGGGACTCGCGCCGGTGGTGGGGTCGGCCCAGGAGGCGGTCTTGCTGGAGTCGTAGCCGTGGAAGAGGAGGCCGCTGGAGTCGTCGTGGCAGTGGTCTTTGAATAGGTCAAGGCTGAGAGTTAGGGAGTCCGTTAGGGTGGTGTTGGTGGGGTCGAAGTAGGTTTTCCACATCGAGATGAAGGAGCTCAGTGGGAAGAGGCCTTCCAGGACGCCCCAGTTCGGGTAAGGGTTGAAGTACCAGAAGGCGCCTGGATATAGTATTCATGATAGTGTTAGTATACTTTTTCGTTGTCCGTTTGGGGTGGGGTTTGTTGATATTTGTTTATGTGGGTGTGAGTGTTGTCTGACCTTCAGAGTCGCGGGTCCTTGCGTTAAAGGCATCGTGGAGGTTGTCGAGGGCTTGTTTGTAGGTATCGTTTGGGGCGCGGTCGTATCTAGAATTGCAAAGTGTTGGATTGGATTTTGGTTCTGCGGTCAGCTAGTAGTTGTGTGGGTGATGACTTACTGGTGATACATAACATCTCCTGACGCAAATATAGTCAGCGGAGCATTCACAATAAACGAGACATCCTGCACGGCTGGGAGGAGGCTTTCGGCGCCATCCAGGGCATAACTGTGCCAATCCACCTGACCGCAAGAATCGGCATCGTAGTACTCCTTCAGACGGGTAACGGTCGACTCGAATAGCGTGACCTGGGAGATATTTGGGTAGATATCATCTCCTGGTGTGAAGTCACCCAGAATGGCATCCCGGCGGGCAATGACGCTGTCTGTCATCCAGGCCGAGTATGGACGAGTGTCTGGATCACAGCTGATCCCCACCGCAGCGGCAGGCTGGGAATGCGACAGCAATCCCGTCAATAAGGCGGCGGTGAAGGGGAGAAAGGACTGGGTCATGGTGGCGCGGGGGTGGGAAACGAGGGGGGAGGGGGGATGTGGTACTGTTGAGCTGCCATCATCTTAACCTTATGTATTTAGTTGGGTTGAGGGGACTGAGATGCGCCATGAAGGAGAGGGACAGGACGCCGCGGACGAGGAGGGAATCGTAAGACCCACGGAGGGAGAGGACGGGGCGGCGTTCCTCGATAGTTCATTCGGGATGAAAGGGATGGTGGAGATTGCACGAGGAGATCGGTGAGCGTCAGTTGGGGAGATCGTGCACAACATTCATGAGTGAGACAGACAGCTCCTAGGCTTCCATGAAGTGGAATGTGAGCTGAGGGTCTCCGGCAGCAAGGTACAAGCCAGACCGTCGATTCAGCGTCAATGTGTTACAGAATAGTTGGGATCATTTGTTGCACTTTTCATTTGCGCCTTCAGGGCAATGCTGGCTCATTTCAACCAAAAATAGAAAAGAAACAAACGTTCTACGTACAGATCGGGCATAGCAAATCATATCATGAATCAGTTCATCCCCTGGATAACGAACCTCCAGACCCTGTCGATGTCTCTCAATCAATCAATCTGGTATCTTCTCTCCATTTGATTCCTCACTCCGCCCCAATCCATGCCTCTGTAGATTCAGTTCAGCTGGCACCGATCCAACGGTGGCTGAACCAGGAACCCAGGCGACACGACCAACCGTTCACGTTTAACCGCAAGAGCCATCCAACCCAAGTCGCGGACATCGATACCAGGCGATCTAGTTTGGTGTATCCTTGTCACAATTCAAAGAACCCAAAGAGAATCAGCATTGTATCTACCATCCATCAACCCGATTGGCATCCCAGGTCCGGACAACGGCTTGGGACACCGTTCCCAGTGTGGGGGAGGTCCGCAACCCCTTTCGCCCAAGTGCCTTTTGCGTCCTTGGGGATGTATCGCACAGAACTCAGCCGGCTCCTTCCTGTGCAATCGTCTCGTCGTTGGAAACCGGCACCGGCGCCCCATGCAGAGCTGCCAGGCGTTCCTCTTCCTTCCTCTCACGGATTTTCTCCGTCTCGCGCCGCAAAGCTTCCAGGTTCCACATGCCATCATCCTCTTCCTCGTCACTGCTCTCGTCGTCAGCACGCCAGTTGCCCTCTTCGAACAGTGTCCGTCCAGTGGTTTCCTTGGCCTTGCGGGCCTGCTCTTCAGCAGCCTTCTTGTCAAGACGCTCCTTCTTCCATTTGGCGAATGTCTCAGGCGTGACGGGCGTCAAGTTGCCACTCAGCTTGTGACGCTCACTTTCCAGCCAGTCTTCAAGGGTCAAAGTGTTGAGTGGCGACTTGTCCATGAGAGCCTTCTCGGCGGCCTTCTGTTCCTTCGTCTTCAGAACAAATCTGTAATCCATCAGCAACCGTAGCAAACATAAAAGAAAAACGCTCGACGAGCTGAACATACCCAGGGGGCAGACTGTGCTTGTACATGCACTTGTCACCTCCATTAGGACAAGTCCAGAACCAACCGTACTTCTGGTTCTCGACAGCCTCAATGAAGTACTTGCAGACCTTATCCGTAGTCGTGCGCGGGTTACCGTGCTTGCTGAGAATGACCTTGCGCAGCTTCTCCTCATCCCAGTCGTCAATCGTATCCTTCTTCTTGGCCTCTTCCTCGGCCGCCTTCACGTCTCGAGAATCGGTGTACAGATCCCTCTTAGCCGCCTTGCGCTCCACACTCGCGTCGTGACTGAACTTGCACTTTTTACCCTTCTCACAATTACCCTGCTTATAGAACACGCAAAGCACAGTTTTCGGATCCACACCGAAAGGAACCTTCTGAACCTGCACGGGCTTGAACAGTTCCAAGGCCTCCTTCTTGGCCTGCTCGGCGGCCTTCTTCTCAGCCTCTCTGCGGGCCTTCTCGGCTTCCTTCTTCTTCGCATCGGCGTTCTTGTTGGATGCCGCTTGAGCCTGTAGCTGAGCAATCTGTTTCTTGGCCGAACCACCCTTTTTCTGTACAGAGAAATACCGGTCAGTGGGCTTGTAATTTTCTCGAGGGTCGATGATGGATGGTGGAGGGAGTGGTCTGCGGGATCTAGAAGGGCTCGTTACGTACGTTCTTCATGCCAAAGGTCTGTACAAAATCGCAGATTAGCATTTATTCTAGGAAATATCGATCGATCAAGGAGCATTTCGAACCTTATCCTCGACCGTGGCCTTCTTCTTCTTAGGCTGGTCCTGCTGCTTCTTGGGAGGCATCTTGGCGGATTTGTGTAGATTTGCACTCCTCTAATATGTAAAAAGAAATGTAGTAAAAGAAAAATAAGATAGCGATAAAATTCTATGCCGGATATATAACTTTTGCGCGCCGATACGATGAGGGAAAGCCTCCCAGAGAAACCCAAAGTCGAGGGAGGGGGAAAAGAAAGGGAAGAAGAAAAGATGCGCCGCAAAAGGGAAGAAAACCGCAACGAAAAATCACCAAAGGAGGGGTCGACCTGACGTCCCGACGGGGTAGGTCAAGTAATATGACGACACCTCGGCTGTATTTTTGATGGGGAAGAAGGAGATGGGGGAAGTATTAAAGATTGTCTAGATGAGGAGGAAGAGGAGGAGAGAGAGATCAAACCGTGAGGAGGTGCAAGGTTTCCTCCACACTTTTCACGGTGTGGGTTTGCCAGTGTGGCGGAACAACTTCACATAATCGGCCTCTCCGCCAATCGAGTTGGATTCTCCTCCTTCCTATCTTCTCGCCTTCCCACCCAAACTCCTCACCAGACAGGTTCTTGTTCTTTGCGCTTTTTCTGTTCGCCAGAAGTGAACTTGCTTGTCTGGTTCGACTGCCGCTAATGTCTGGGCTTCAATCACGCGACAGATACGCACTGCAAACTACTTCATTACACTTGGTGGTGGTGTTCTACGCTGTCCGGTCGCAAGTCTCGTTCAACCGCCCGACTCTCGGATCTTCTCTACGCCTGGATCGCAGTCCAGGAATGGGCATTGTGAAAGAAATATTCTTGCTAGTCATCTCGTCATTTCAATACCAATGAAAGGAAATAGTTCAAAATTCCTTTTCCGTTTCCCTTCGCCTCTCGAGGCAGGCCACAAACCTGTCCAAGTGCGCCAGGTAGCTCCAAACCATGAACCGTGGTCATCGGCGGTATAGTATAGGTAAAAGAAAAGCTCAAAAGTTACAGCATTCGTCGCTCGCCGTTATTTGCTTTTTTTGATTACTTGCTTGCGTAGTAGTCGTTGCCTATCTCAGTAGAAGGGCATGGCATTTAAGAAACCTCCTGGATCTTAGAAGACTTGGCAGCCTCGGCCTCGCCCTCCTCCAGCTCGGGCATCTCCTCTTCCTGCTAGAAGTGTCAGTGATTTGACATCTTGTCAATTGGTTTAAGATTGGTAGACAACATACCTCTTCTTCCTCTCCAGGAACACCGGCATCACCGCCGAGACCGGCACCAAGCTTGGAGAAGTCAATGTTGGAGAGACCACCCTCGCCTCCAAGACCTTCGAAGCCTCCGAAGTTGTTTGCATAGTCGTCCTCGTTCACCTCGTCTTGCTCATCCTCATCAACCCACTGTCTCTTAGTCAGCTCTCTCTGTTCCTAGATCCATGAAAACTAGAACCAGTATCATACCTTGTCGAAGTTGGTCTTCAGGAAGTGGATCTTCTGGGTGGTCTTCAGCAGACGCGGCCAGTATTCTTCCTTGAGCTCCTTCTTGCGCAGCACCAGCTCGACCTCACGGTCACTGTGGTTGACCTTGCTGTTCTCGGGGTCGATCTCGGCAAACAGGTCGAGAGAGACGTGGTATTTTACGCCCTTCTTGGAGTTGCCTGTAAAAGTAACGTTGGTAGGCTTGATGTCGAGGGTTGCGTCAGAACGGGCAACATCAGCAGCCTTGATGCTAACATAGAGGTAGTTGCGCTCGGGGTCGCTATCCGAAGAGCGCTGAGCCCATGTGACTAGTAAACACCCTTGTTAGTACCTCATGCTCGCCGAGATGAATGTATACATGTAAATATAGGCAGGGCGATAATATGAGAGACAACAGGGCCATTGTATGGCATGATGCTTCCCAGTAGCCGGGAACCCCAGAAATGATGAAAATCCAGAGCGGGGAAGGAAATGAGGGACAGGAGGGGAAGTAAACTCACCTTCGGGGTGGACCTGAGGGAGTTCGGGCATTATGATGATAGATAGCGGATTGGATGGGTTTGTTTAGAAGTACAGAATGTAGCAACCTCGTCAGAAGCAAAAGAAGGGAGGTGATGGGGGAAGGGGATGATGTCGGGGGCTAGACGGATAGTGAAGTTGCAGCAGCAGGCGGTTGCTCTCAGCTGCTGATCGCCGGCGAGTCACTAGTAATGAATGCTAGAAAGTACTGGAACTCTCCCGCCGCCCGTTTGCTCTGTTTGCGGCCTCTGGGTGCCTGAGGCTTAATGCTGCCCAGCGACGTCACTGCCCCCGTCCATATCTTGCTGACTCAGCCGCCGAGTGGAACAGCCAGACATCCACTCCATCCATCCATCTTGGAGCCCAGGCACCGCAGCAGCCAGCAGCCATGCAATAGTCCACATCCTGGTTGGTGCGCCTCTTCTACACGTCCCCCCGCCATCTGGCTTCACCGGCGTTATTGCTTGATCGTCAGAAGGTCAACTACCACTCTCTTCACCGCATAATTGTGTGAGAAGACCTCTTACCACCTCGAATTCACACCCCGCCGTATTGCAAGGTCACTTCAGGTTCGACCGATTCAGCACCCTGACAACATCCCATCCGAGTATTCCCGCTTCAAGCCAAAGTAGACATTTTGCAGCTATAGATATCGATCTGTGAACCCGTATCATCCTCGCGCCAGTCAGCATGGAGACCCTCAAAGCAGTCTTTTTCGGGCCGGATCCTCAAACGCAGGCAAGTGCCTAACCTAATGAGCGACATGCCTGGCGTTGCTGACTGTTATTGCTGTCTCTAGATGAGGAAATGTAATCAGCTTATCCGCGCCAATACCCGACAGTTGGATCGGGACATCGCACAACTGAAGACTCTGGAAAGCAAGACACGACAGTACATCATGAATTCATCGAAGCGGGCCCAGCGCAATCCCTCCCAGGCCAAGCAGGCCAACATGGAGGCTAAGACATTTGCGCGAGAGCTTGTTCGCATTCGCAAGCAGTCCACCCGTTTACACACCAGTCGCGCCCAACTGCAGAGCGTTCAGATGCAGGTCAACGAGGCCTTTTCAGTTCGGAAGATTCAAGGCAGCTTGAAGAAGTCTACGGGCATCATGAAGGACGTCAACACATTGGTCCGGATGCCCGAGTTGAATGCCACGATGCGTCAGCTGTCGACGGAACTGGTGCGGGCTGGAATCATCGAGGAGATGGTCGATGATGCCATCCCGAACAACGAATTGCTGGAGGAAGAGGAAGAGGAAGCAGAGGAGGAGGTCGACAAGGTCCTGCAGGAGATCCTGCACGGCAAGCTGTCTCAGGTCGAAGGGGTTCAGCCCGAGAAGCCATTGGAAGAGGCTCCAGAACCGGAGGACGAGTTCGCGGATCAAGAAGCGACACTCGAGCAGATGCGGGGACGCCTCGAAGCCTTGAAGAGCTGAGGAACATTGAAGACGATTGCTTGCATCTGCGTCTTGGCTGATGTGACGAGAACAGTGGATTACAAGATGCCACTCAATACGGATTTCTTTCCTTTCATGTTGTGAACGGCGTTTGGGTAGGATGGCGGGCGTCTTTGGGATGATCGTAAGTACCGGTTGAGCTTATTTCGTCCTAATGTTGACTACGGGACTGGCCCTTTATTGGGAGCTTTGAGCGGATTGAGCTGTTTCTGTTGATATGAAGACTTTTTTCCGAGAATATCCCTGCTCGTAAATATACTTCATCATCTTTTCTTCCATGCAACTTCGGGTTCGACTGGGCTTTGATTGCTCTAATTGAGTTTTTGGGCAGCAGGGGCTCTTGGCGGCAGCGGAAGGTTACAGATAAGCGCGAGCTTATGAGTCTGGACTCATATGTTGGATTGAAATGAATATACGAGATTAGATTGCATAGCTGGATAGCGTTGTCACATTAGCTTGCAGTAAGTTGTAGATGAAGCCATGATCTGCTTGGGCACAGGCAAAGGGAGGCACTGTTGTTTGCAGTGTTGGCCCGATGGGCCCCAATGGGGATTAGCGCGATGGGCAGGTGGCTCAGCCTTTTTGGGAAGAAGATCCGGCTGACGAACTGAAAGGGAACTGAACCTCCCGCCTTTCCCTTTTGCTTATCTTCTCCATCCCTCTTCCGTTTCCCTTCCCTTTCATCTTCCATCCATCCATCCTATCCATTCCCAACATCTTCATCAACCCACCTTGCAGCTCTTATCTCCACCCGCTGCAATTCAACAGTCAACGCGACATTCTCGCTTCCTGCCCGTCGTCCAGGTTAATCTGCCAGCTTCTGGACACCGTTGCCTCCAGAAACAAGCCCGTCCCAGCGTCGCGATTCTCCGTGGCGCAACACCTGTAACACTCAACACTCGTGAAATCTCATCACCTACCGACACTCAACCCTACAAAGTCTCATACTCCACTTTTCACCATGTCTGCCAAGTTGGACAAGTCTCTCGATGAGATCCTCGTCAGCCGTCGCCAGGGCGCCCGCCGTCGCGCTCGTCGCTCGGCTCCCAAGGCTGCCAACACTTCTGTCCCGGTCGGAGGTGTGAAGAAGACCACCAAGGCTGCCAAGGCGCCCGGAAAGGCTGTCCAGAATGGACACCCGGTCTCTACGGAAAGCAAAATCATGGTCAGCGGCTTGGTGAGTATCCATTTTGCTCTAAATAGATGACCATTTACTAACGTTCCTAGCCTTCCGATGTGAACGAGGCCAATATCAAGGTATGTTGATCGAAAGGCCTTGGCCTTGGGTTTCTATCGCCATGTTTTCTTCTCGAAACCTTCGAGGCGCAACGGCTTTCGCGCGCGTTTCGATCCTTGCCACGTTATCTACATATATTCTTATATCACCGTCATGGATTCTTGGTCTTCAGCACAGGCAGCAAACTCAGATAACTTCGCATGCGGTAATTGCACGCTGGCACCCTGCGAGTCCGCCGAAGTTGGAGTTCTGCCGTAGTCTTGCGAAAGGCGTGTTAGCTCGGGCGGATCTTCCAGCCATCCGCCTTTGAAGCCACGCAGCAGACTGTGCCACAGATGGTTATTGAAACATACCATCTTTTGAAACCAATCCGATTGGCTACACCCGTACAAGTCCCACGTTTCGAGGCGTCGGGCATCAGCGAGCGCATCAGCCTACCAGCAGTGACCGACTAGTTCGGCAAGTGATCAACTGTCAAGCATTATGCTACCGGCGGTCGGTATGGGAAATGTTTCGAAATCGGGCAGGAAAGACTCATCTTCCCATATCACCTCCGTGAAATAAGTCATGTCATGTTTTCCCTATCATGGGCTGCTAGAGAGATTCTGGGGGAACAGAACCATGGATTTGCCGCACACGTAGCATTTGTGTTGTCTATCCCCGGGCAAAGGTTGTTGGCTACGCAGACCGTAGCTTCTGAAGGCCAGCCCTTTGTCTGGTTACGAGAAGTTCGATGACGACTGCTAAGTGGGTTAGTTTGGAAGGGGGACACATGATACAGTGAAGGCTATCGAGGGAGTTCATCGTCGTGGTTCTTGGGATAAATGCTAGCAGCTCTGTGCTCCGGATATGACTGTCTCGGTGTCCTGGAATGAACGGCCATCCACTGATTACTACTAACCGCCGCTGTGTGCTCGCTGGTGCTCTTTGGTATCGCGTTTGAAGCCGGTGTCACGCGTTCTTCGATGTTTTGGCTCTTCGGAATTCCTTGCGCCTTCTACAATCTGTTGGCTCGACATACTAATTTGGTCTCCTGGTATAGGAATATTTCACAAAGTCCGCAGGTCCTGTCAAGCGAGTTATGCTCACTTACAACCAAAACGGCACGAGCCGTGGTATCGCCTCGATCGTGTTCAGCAAGCCCGACACAGCTGCCAAGGCTGCTAAGGACTTGAATGGACTCCTCGTTGATGGCAGACCCATGAAGGTAGGTTTTTCCTTCACAATCACTTCTTTTACGTATGGACACTAACCAGTACTAGATCGAGGTCGTCGTCGACGCCTCCCACGCTCCTGAGGTCCCCGCCCCCAAGCCTCTGGGCGAGCGCGTTGCGTAAGTGTTTTCTACAGTTATCTGCTACTGGGGGGTCATGACTAACCGCGATGAAGGCAAACCAAACCCCAACCGAAGCCCGCTACCGCTACTAAGGCTGCTGCTGGTGCCAAGGGCCGCAAGGGCCGCGCTCGTCGCCCTAACGGCCGTGGCAACCGCCCTAAGCCGAAGACTGTGGAGGAGCTTGATGCTGAGATGGTTGACTACTTCTCCACCACCAACGAGAATGCTGGCCCTGCGGAGGGCAATGCCCAAGCAAACGGTGCTGCTCCCCAGCAGCCTGCCGCTAACGGCGGCGAAGACCTCGGAATGGCGGAGATCTCCGTAAGTTTTGTCAACGAGTCATTGTATGAAGCAGAGCTAATAAACTATCTAGTAAATTTCCCATCTAACATTTGACTCTACATGACGACGTGAGTCAATTGTATCGACTGCGAAGGGCCAGGCTTTGACTGGCCACTCGGCCAATCTTTACGCACTCTGGGTCTGCCGGTTGGATTCGAGTTTCAAGCTTTCGTTATTTCATCATTGCTCTTCGGATATGTCTTTTTAGTTCGCTCTGTTCTATTCTTTTCTTCATAATGTCGTCAGTGCTACTCGGATATCGTCGGTGGGATGGGGAAAGCCATGTATCTAATAAACTTGCTCAATTGAAAACCAGCAAGCACATGTTTCATTGTAGTAGTTGATTTCTATAGTCCATCGTTGTCATGGTTGTCGTAAAATTGTGTAAGTTGGAATCCTTCAAAGGATAGTAGATGAATGACCATCTGCTGTTCCATGGCATTGACATATAGAATTGAAAGCAACATTGTGCCAGTTGATGTTATTGTATCGTTTTTAACACATGTCGATGTCGACCGCAAGTAACAGTCCATCTCTATCACCTGATATTTCCCACATAAGTAATAACAAGGCAAACATGGAGAATTGACCATACCATAGTGATCACACAACAGTTAATAGTTCGATTCTTTTAATTACATACAAAACCCGTCCACCAACTATAAACCCAATCATAACAACCAAACAACCACCCACCACCCCCATCAACTCCAGGTCCCATTCGCGGGTCCAAAATACCCAACCTCCGGCATAGACTTATACGCCACGCCCTCCCCATCCGCAGTATTAACATAAACCGTATTGCCCCACCAATCGGGAAACACCGCGCCGGGATACGAAATACAAAAGAAGATGACGATACCACTAAGAGCAAGACCGGTATCGAGCGCAGCAGCCAGAATATAGTTGTATTTCTTCCACCAGGCGAAGAAGCGCTTCTTGATGAAGTGGTTGAAAGCGAAGTTCACAAGGGCCCAGCTGGAGTAATTGATACCTGTGGCGGGAGGGACGTTGTAAGTTCCGACGAAGATGAGGGGCCAGTTGATGTATTTCCAGAATTGGTTGCGGGTGTATTTGTAGAGGAGGTAGGTGATGAGAGGGGCGATGGCGCCGATCCAGAAGAAGTGGAGGAGGGAGGAGTAGATGCGGCCGACGGAGTAGAGACGACGGGGCCCGACGAGGCCCCAGATGACGGAGGAGGAGTAGACGGTTCGGCCGTTGGGACAGGTGAAGCCGTCGGATTGGTCGGAGGAGCAGATGTCTTGGATGTGGCCGAGCATCCAGATGGTGACGCCTGCTTGGGTGAGGGCGCCGAGGATGGTGGCGAGGCCTTGGGCCATGAAGAGGGTGCGAGGGGGGATTTTAAGGTAGTGGCCTAGTTTCATGTCCATGGCGAAGTAGACGCCTTGGCCGACGACGTCGGTGCTGAGGATTTTGAAGATCATGTTGGCGAGGGGTTTGCCTTCGAACATGTAGCCGCCGATGAATTCGGCGAGGACGTTGAGTTGGTTGGCGTCGACGTTGGTGATGCCTTGGATGATGCCGCAGGGGACCATGTAGATGGCGGGGATGATGAGGCCGAGGAAGACGCCGTAGACGGGGAGTTTGGTGTGATAGACTTCGACCATGACGATGGCGATGGCGGTGATGATGGCGATGATGGCGGCGTACCAGTACCAGGGGGTCTTTTTGTAGGATCGCATGAGACGGGCGTGGATGTCGAGCTTGTTTTTGCCTTTCAGGGCGGCCCAGACTTCTTTGCCGTGCCAGACGCCGATGTGGGTGAGGACGGCGGTGATGGAGGCGAAGGATAGGCCGTAGACGAATGCGTATGTTGCGGGTAGGTATGGGGGTGAGTATTTTCGGTAGGCGTCGACGTCTAGGGTGTTGTCGGCGCTGATGACACGGGCTGTGTCGTAGACTGTACCGGTGCGGTCGTAGACGTCGGCGGTCATCAGGGGGAGATAGGCTGTGAACCATGTGTTGGTGTAGTAGATTCCTGGAACTACGATCCAGAAGAACACGGCAAAACCGGCGAACACGTTGATGGCCGCCCAGGATGGTGACAGAAGGGGGTTCGTGTTGTAGGCAACCTGGCTCCAATCGAATGTGATAGGACTTAGTCCTAGGCCCGTCTGCATTCCGAATAATTGGTTCACGACCACATTGCGAGGAGCGATCCAACAGATCCATGTGAAGTAGGAAAGGGCAGTGAACATCAGCCCTGGGAAGAAATACCATACGAAACCACCTGCGGTGACGTAGAGGAAGAACCGCAGACGGGAAATCTTCCAGCCATTGGCGACGGTGTTTGCACGCGAATGAAGCGTCTCCAGCATGGCACAGTTCGAAAGGACCTGGGGCCAGATGATCCTTGCTGGTTCAACTAACCATGGTGCAGCCAGACCGGCCACTCCAAATCCCAGCAGCTGTGCGCAGAGAACCACAAGGACAGAGAAGCCAGCTGAGAGACCGAAATTGTAGAACCTGGCGCTCGATGCTTGGATGATATTGGTGGAATCTGCGCTTCCATAGCCGAAAGATACGTTGCTCATGATGACGATGAGAGCATGTTCTTTAATGTTGAAATGGCGATCTGGGTTGAGGGTGAACGATCCTAGACGTCCGAGGCTTATAGTCCACAAAGGCAAGACTTTGGCCAGGAAGACGCCGCACGGATAGGCAAGTAGCTCTGCTACCAACGACACGATATGAACCGACGGGTACCGAAGGGAGAAGAACTGATTGATCCCCGATCCAATGATGGTGAAAATAAACCCAAGCACCCACATGCGGAATGTGTTAACGGGCAGGCCTGGGTCGTCCGTCTCAGGGACGACGGCGCGTACTAGGCGTGTCACCCATTAGATGGGTCAGTGTGTATGTGAAAGGCCGCATACCTTCAGGGAATGGCGAATGTTCTGATTCATAGTCAAAATCATTTGGCTCCTTCTCTTGTTCAGAAAGGTCAAGTTCCGTTTGTATTTCTTCGAAGCCGCCTTGTTGCACCTCGACGTCCGCGCTGACTTGCGGGGATTTGAACGATTTCTCATTCAGCTCTTTGGAAGCCATCTCCGCAGTAGTCAGCTGTCAATATGACCCTGAAGCCGAGTAGATGAAGGCGGGATACCGCCGACATCGCAGGAGGACATAACCCCTCCTTTTAAGAGCAGGCCGATCAAGAGAAAGCTTGAGTTCTTATCGCCACGCGTGGTGTCTTGCAGAACCTGAGCGTCGTTAGCGTCTGGGCAGGTGTAAGAAAGCCGATAAGAAGCATGTCGGTTGTGTCTATCTTGATAACGGCCGAGATACCCTGCAATCAACCCCCCGAAGTGCGGAGAAGCTGGCCTCGTGAATTGTCATGTTACACAGCTGATGCGATCTCTGACGAAGCCCGAGGCATCTTCAGAATCTGCGATTCGTGGGATACGATGAGTTTTTGTCACTCCAGTTAGTTGACTCTTCTTGGGAATTGTTTTTGCTTTGCCACATTCCGAGTGAATTGAGAGTCAATGGTTTTGATAAGGCGTGCATCCTTCCGATTGGGAAACGAAGACCGATAGCGTTATCGCAGGTGCGATGCCAAGTTTGGCGGGGGCGAAACCGCGATAGTGTTAATGCAAGGACGGCTCGCATTCTAAAGCCTAGATTACACTTGTGCGTGATGCACTTTCTGTGGACTGTGGGACGTCAGTGGGACCAATGTTCCAGCCCTATCTCGACGATAAATCTTTCTGCTTATTGGCGGTCTTTCCGACTGGCTGGCTGCAGTAGTAGCGAAGGAAGAGCTCGATAGGGTGATGTTCAAGTCCATCAAACTCTAGCACTTTCGTGTACTGGATGACAACCCGTTTTCCATTATGGTGTGCTTGCAGAATCCGTCCTTGCTCTCTATTCAGGTAAGATATAGCCAGAATCTAAAGTTTTGTCAGATGTGTGTCCAGATTGATTAGAAAGGGGCTTGTGAATGAACTTACTGGCATGATCGAATGCCGTCTGTAACAGTCCAGCCCTATGCGAACAGCCATAACTCTCATAATGGCCTTCACTTCGGCTACTGTGAGCCCCTTCGTCTTATCGACTTGAATATTCTGACGGATATCGCATACAGCATGGGGTACTTCATGTTCCAGGTCTTCTAGAATGCGCAGTATTTGCCAGCTCTCGGTAGAAAGCTTTTCGACTAGTTCGAGGCCTGGTTGCTGCTTCCACTTGCCCTTACTAGTGGCTCTTCACTCGGTATGTTAGTTACGCAAATGGATATATGGGTGGCCTGTATCAACTTACCCACACTCGCGGAGAGTTGTCAGGTTATCCAAGCAGAAACCTTTGCGTACGGAGGTTGCATATTTTTCTCGGAAGAGATCAAGGATGAGTGGGCACTGAGTGGCTGTGCTTGAGGGTGTGTTGCCACGTCCTGCATAGCCTAAGCTACCTCCATTTGAGGTATTCTTGCATAGCTGCTTCGAGAGGCATGTCCGTATAGTGTCAGTCGATAATGGGGAGAAAAAGCACGGTTTGAATTTGACCATGTCTTTGCTGTTCAGGTTGACTTCAGATGCGTCGATCTTCAGCTTCAGTAATTGCCATGACTTTAGATATCCAGCTGAGTATTCCTCGATCCCAGCATGGGTTGCGATGATCTTGTCCTGTATCCTCTGGCGTTTCACTTCTTGTGAGAGGTGAAAACGGAACACCGGCATCTTGTTGTCGCTAGTCAGTTTGTGGAGGGAGAGGTTGAGGCTCTCAAGTGGAGAATGAGTTCTTTGATGCATATTGTAGGGAGCTGAGATGAACGAATCAAGTGTTATAATGATTTGGATAGGTTATTAGTACACAATTGAATCTAGACTTGCGAGTTGTGAGAAGTCGAAGTGGACGAATGAAGTGGTATGATGTATGTCACTTGTCCTCTGGTGAAGCTGTCACTACGCCACTATTACAATAAACACGATGTCAGTTCTTCAGATCCTAAGTGCAATCATAAGCGTTGGATCATAGCAGCCCTTGGTTGCCTTTGATACCCTCATCTGAAAGGAGTATAGGAATCGCTGCCACGATAGTGGAATATCTCATAATCTAAATCTAGTAGCATATTTCCCCTGAGCAGGGTTAGACAAAGATACCATATCGTATTATATTTCCTCTGTTGCTGGCAGATGATGGAGGATGAGCTCATCGTAGAAAATGATGGAAGTGATGGAAGTGGTGTGATATTCGTTGCGTAGCCGCAAGGGTTTCCTATCCAGGAACATTATCAACTAATGAACATACTAGTCGAAAAGACAAAGGGGTATAAAGATGACAAGTTCTTTCTTTCATATGGTTCCACCCATAGCAAATTTGCGAAACTTTATCTTGGACTGGTTGTATGATGTGGCATCAGGGAGAGAGCTGCTTGGTGGGCAGATCCAGGGGGAAGAACTCTCCGTGGGAGCAGGTGACCGGTGAGTTCTACACTACTGCTCTGACACTATCCGCAGGCCTATATTTCCCTATTTTAAGGATGGCATGGCTAGGAAACTGAGATTTTAGACTGGCAATAGTCGAAAGCAGCTTTTCATCAAACGCTTTGGCGAGTCAGACACTTAAGTTTCTGGTATTAAACATCCCAGGTGATTCGATTAACGGGTTTTTAGAGCACATTACTTCATCCTACTCATCCCACCCATACACTTGATCGCAAGAATGGCGCAAATGTTCATACTCTTCATCCAGTCAGAGTCACAGAAGTACGGATAGAGGGTCTTCACTGGCTATCTCCTCAAGAGCAGTAAGGGCACCATGTTCTTCAGGTCCCGTGTAGGTCACCTTCGTCTGACCGTGGTCCATGATTGTACCATGGTTCCATAGAGTGATGAGTGAGGTGCTCTAGACTCAATTAGCGAGGAAGTCAAAACACTGGAAGGGTGGACTCACTATCAAACCTGTGTGCGCGTCCCAAGACAGATTTACCTCTTCCAGGCGAAAATATTTCCGCTTCAAGTCGCGCAAGAATCTCCGCCAATAGGTATATCTGAAGATGATATTCTCCATAGTCAGGACCCGCAAACTATGGCAATACCTATTCAACTTTGGCTCAAGCATACGATGGCCCATACCCGTAACATTGTGTAGTTTGATTACCGCCAGAGGTCTAATTCGAAAATACTTACCTTCCAAGACATTATAAACGACATCTTCTGCATAGACCTTTCCAAGATCAAGTGAGACCTCTTTTACTCCGTAGGGGTAGGGGGTATTTAGTGGAAGTAAAAGTAATGAATACAAGTCACGGCTGAATGCTATGTTTGCGTTGACTTTGAGTGAGATGTCGGTAACTCTTAAACTTCCATAGAAGAAATGAGAGACAGCATGGGACGGGAGACTCTCAAGACCGCCACGTAGAAGTGAGGGTAAGTTATCTGTCCTGAAATCTAATGTGAGCGAGTTTAGGGAATTCATAATCCCACGAAACGCGTATAGCACTGAGTAAGCCATGTCAATAGCACCCATCCATGCTAATCTATAGTCAAGGTGCTTAATGTCCACTGCAGAAATCCGGAGAATGCGGCATTGTGTGAGCTTTTTGACGACTTTTCGCAAGTCTTTCGAGGCTTGTGACTCCAGGGGACATGACGGGAGAACACGATAACCAAGGCCCAGAGGTCCTCCAGAAGAACTGCATATGGACAATTCTCTGATAGCTGAGGCTTGCTTTTCGGTGAGCCTCATCAACTGCCGCACATGCCGCCGGGAAAGGTCGGTACAGATTGTATGAAGATTGATCTTGTTGAGCGGGTCGGCACACACTTGGTAAAATGTTCGGCAGGTGAAACGCAAGGGGCAAAGGTCCAAAAAACCAAGATATGAGAAGATCAGATAATATACCTCGAGTGGGAGGTTGTAAAACTTGTTTGCATCTTGGGAAATCCGGGCCGTGACACTACGCGTCACTACTCGCCAACGATGAGAACGGGAGCTGGTACATGACATGGATGGTACTCACTGTAGACACGTCTAGCATTGTCGAGAGCCATCATAGGATGGTCTGATGACAAGTGTCTGTAAACCTTGGGTAGTATCGAGTTGCCTGTTTCCAGGAGGCCAAGAGATTTCCAGGGCTAGGGATTCTGAAATGAACTTGGATGTACATAGAGGATACAGAACAAGCCGCAGAGAGGAATATGGCTGTTTCATAACTGGTGCGTAGTGCTACTGGCATGTTTACCTCACGATGAATGTTTAGGTCAAGATGACGAATGTATGACTTTCAAATGATGGTGCACGTCGGACTTAAGAATGATGATCCTTCTGGGTCAACCAAGATGGATGGTGTATTATTCATTGATTCGTATAATCTATCATTTTCCATTCTGGCTTGCAAGCCAGGCTTCGTGGGCCTTCTTCTGGCGCTCCCAGTCTTTCCGGAGCTTCTTGCTCTTACTCTTGGCGAGAGGCTCTCCCGTAGCATCTTTCGTGGGAATGCCGTCTTCGTCCCAGGCGCTGTATTCGCTGGTGCGGAACATTTCCACGGGATTGAGCTTTCCTTTCTCGAGCCGTTCCTGGGCAAGCTTCTCTTGCTTCTCCTTCTCTTGCTGCTTCAACAAGGCTTTACGAGCTTGTTCCTCGCGGGCCTGCAGCATATCCTTGGTGACAGGACGGACGAGCGCGGGCTTGTTTTCGCGGTCTTCCAGGTAAATGCCCAGGTTGAATAGATCGACATTACGCAAGCGATCGCAGAGAGAAAGTATGTCCTTGGAAGCCTGCTTGGAATCGTCCAAGCTTAGCGAGGCTAATTGAGAAGTGAAATTGTCCAGGACTTCGGAGTAGGGCTTGTCAGAATCGGACACAGTTGCTTCCTTGGTAGCAGAAATGTCCACAATATCTTTCACCTGCTCAGCGGTGATGGGAGTTCCAGACATGGCAGCTTGGCGCAGAGTGTCACGCATGGCGGACAGTGGGTATAGGAAACGTTTGGCTGCTTCCGGAATGTCAGTGCCTTCCCAGCCGATGCCACAGTTGTCAGGAGAGGCCGCGCCATTCAAGCCAAAGATAGTAACAATCTGGGTGACCCATGTACCCATGGATTCGACTATCTTGAGATCCAGGGTTTGGCTGTCAAGGGCGTTGAACGTCGTGACCAACTCAGAAATGGCGGCCATGACCTTGGGGGTGTCAAAGGAGTCACAGAAGTATTCGTGGACCTTCTCTTGTGTGGACTTGAGGGCCTGTGCCAAGGTCTCGGAGGAAGAAGTCGGCGCCTCGTCAGAGGAGCGGAAGCTAGAGGGGTCCTTCGCTTTGACAAAGAAGTTGTTGAGCTTTTCTTCCCAAGAAGAGGCATTCTTGATGAGATCATCGGTGATTTCGACACCATCACGCCACCCACCAAGCAAGAAGACGATTCTCAAACTACGAGGAGTGTAGTCACCGCGCTCGAGAGCTTCCTTGACAGTGGTGAAGTTCTTCAATGATTTCGACATCTTGGAACCCTGGATGGACAGATGACCCATGTGCAGGAAGTAGTTAACCCACTGCTGCTTATGCTCGCACCAGTAGGCTTCACTCTGCGCAAGCTCGTTGTCGTGGTGAGGGAATGCCAGGTCAATACCACCGGAGTGGATATCGATCTGGCTACCAAGGCAGCTCGATGCCATTGCCGAGCACTCGATGTGCCAGCCTGGCCGTCCTTGACCCCACTTGCTTGACCAGCTGGGCTCACCCGGACGGGATGCCTTCCAGAGGGCAAAATCATCCGAAGACTTCTTCTCGGTTGCTCGCGACAGTGCGCCCTCGCCGTCCCTCAGCAGAGGCTGGTTGTTGCGGTTCCAAGGCTCAAGTCGCGCATAGTGGTTTCCAGCTTCTTCGAACGCCTTGATGTCGAAATAGACGGAGCCATCGGAGGTAACATAACCGAACTTGTTCGCGACAATCTTCTCGACGAAGTCGGCAATCTGCTGGCCGTATTCGGTGACTCTGGTCACGGCATCGGGGTCAAGGACGTTGAGATCCCGCATATCCCTCATGAAGTGATCTTCGTACTTCTTCGTCAGTTTCGTGAAGATCTCGTGCGCATCGCCTGGAATTGTAGAACCCTCCGTCACATCAAGATAGAAGCAGAAGACATCCTGGGCCGCGTCGTAGAAAGCCTTGCTGGAGGCAGCATCGATGCCCGAGAGCTTCTGGGTGGCCTCCGCAATCGCCGACGTTGTGGCTGTCACAGTCTTGATGTGCATCTTGATCTTGACCTCCGCATCACCGGGCTTCTTGTCTGCCTCCAGGGCCCCTCCCTGCAGAACAACTCCATAGACCTTCTCGGCTTCCGCGACAAAGTTCTCCGGCTTGGTTTCGGGATCGACCAGGGGAAGGTTCTTCTTGATGTAGGCGCTGTATGCTTTGCGGGCGGTTTCGAGGACTTCGGGCGTAACGGTGGGGTGCTCGGCAATGTACTTGTTGAACAAGTGCTGTTGTCTACCGCGCAGGATGATCTTGAAGCCAGAGTCAATCCTCGAGAAGCTATTGTATCGGCGGGGTAATGACACATACCTTGTCATCGACATCGGTGATGTTCATGACAAACTCGACGTCGAACTTGAAGTAATCCCTGAGGATTCGACGCAGGATATCGGTGCTGACATAGTTTCTGGCATGACCCAGATGCGCATCGTCGTAGACTGTCGGACCGCAAGCGTACCACTTAACTTTCCGGCCTTTGGGGTCCAATGGCACAAAGGGCGTCTTAGATCTGGTGAGGGAGTTCCATACTTTGAGGGAGGGCAGACGAGTGTCGGGATGAGCAGGGGGTTGCTGCCAGGGAGGCTGTTGGCGACTCTCCATGATGGCCGAGCGAGAGAACCGGCGTGATGAAAAGAGCGACCGGCAAACGAGGGGTAATCGTGGTGGTGGCATAAAGTGTCTGGATGGTTACCCACCAGTTTTTCAGCAAATTATAACGACTTGCTTTGACGGTCTGCCACCGATTGGCTTCACCGCCGTCATCCCCGCTTTGGGCTGGGTCTCGTGACTGGCCATGACTCATTCAGGCACAGGCCATGATTGGTTTAGTTTGATGCCATCTACAGGCAATCTATACACATATACTCATTGCAATATACAGACTAATATACACTCTCGAGCGATACAAATCAAAAGACTACTCAGAAGGGTGATACTCCATATACTCCCAGCACCTTTCCAACATCATCATCCCGCTCCCCTTTCACCACCGTCGCCACCCTCTCTCCTCCATCAGATGGTTCTGCAGCATTACGTCGTCGCAGTGATTCAGGGTCACCGGTGAGATTCGTGGCACACAGCCCTGGATCGGCTCCAAACACTTTAAAACCTTCATCTTTGAGGCGACACATGTACAAGACCATCATCATGTTCAGTGCAGCCTTGCTGGCCCGATACTCCGTAGCACTGGCTATGTGAAAGGGAGATGACGGGTCTGCCGCACGACTAATGGAGCCTGTGCTCGAAGATACAAATACAAGACGTTTCTCAGATGAATTCCGAAGCAGGTCTAGAAATGCTTCTGTCGTGCTAAGTGCTCCGACCACGTTCACATCCAGGATCTGGCGCATAGCCTCTCGACTTGGCGGATGCTTCATCGAGTTCATGGCAGCATTGTTGACTAGGATGTCAAGTCGTCCATACTGAGCTTTGATCTCGGCAGCAGCAGCATCCACAGACTGATCGTCAGTTACGTCGATTTGAATTGACGAGACACTGCCCTTGATACCGGGGACAGCCTGCAAGGTCTTGGCCGCCTCTTCACCCTTGACTGGGTCTCGCGAGCCTAAAATGACATGGTAGTTGTCGGAGAGGATCAGGTTCTTGGCCGTCTCGAATCCGATGCCCTGGTTTGCCCCTGGAGGTGTTAGTTGAAACCAATTGTTGGGCTGGAAGAAGTACCAGTGATCAGGACCAACTTTTGCTCAGCAGACATGATTGGTACAGACTAATAGATATTCACGCAGGCTTAAGATGTTCTTGAGTGATTGCAACCACCGTCACGTTCAACACTATATACTGTGCAGTTCGGAATTATCAAGACTTAACTCCGATCTACAGGAATGCCCATAACTCCGATAACACCGGATTCGTCGCATTGAAGGATTCGGAGTTTGGAGAGCTGAGAGCTGCCTGCTCGAATTTTGGCCCACCTCAACGTATAAGGCAATAGGTTGCTTTGCGAGCAGAATTGATGAGATGGATCATCACGCTCTATAGTCACCATTCTGCTTCGGGAATTTTGCCTGGGCAGGAACTGGTATACAAATCGTGCCAATTATGCTTTAGAGCATCCCGGAGATCTTCAAGCCCATCAAGACCAATGGGGTACTAGAGGGAGGGTATTAACCTCCTAATTGACCTGCGTTCCGATGACGGGGAGTGGACCTGGCATCACAGTGCATATGCTCGAAACCAGTCATGCCAGTCATACAGCAGCCACATGCTGAGTGTCGAGCAGGACAACATATAGTTGAGGGGGACGATGTGAATGTCAAGCTCATGGCAGGGCTGACCTCTTATAACCAGACACATCCGATAAAAGCATAGGTCAGGCTTTATCCACTAATATATACTATATAGACATGATCAGACTAGTACGTGCACTAGTAGTCATGCCTTGAGGCTCTACTCTAGCGCATTGGTAATATTCTCGAAGGGGGCGATAGATATTGGCTGAGATCCACATATGCACGGAGCTTCAATCGCGTTGTGCTCCATACTAGTCGACGAGGAAGCTTGTGCTATTCTCTCTAGACATCTCCCCATTTCCGTGATTCAGTCGATATTCAGCAGCTTACTAAATTGACCCATATCCTAATATTTATTTCTTCTACGGCTATCTAGCAACCTTGTTAGATAGATACCGGGATTCGGAAATATATGAGACATCGTTCATACCATGATGTTCGAGACATGCCCGTCTCATAGTGAAACTATTAGTCTCCAGACATCGCTGGATACAAGATATTCCCTACGAAGTAGATAAATCCTACCACTGCAAATACCAAGTATTCATTACCATACATCTACACCGACGTCTCCCAGCACAACTACTCAAACTAACTAAATCAACTCCCTTATGATGGCAACATAAAGTACCCTTTCAACCACCCTCTCTTCCTTGAAATCCTATAGATATCAACCGCAAAAAATGATATACAATAATGATAAGCGCACACCGCTCCGTGCCACCAGCATCGAAGAACAAAAGAACAAACAAAAGAACAACCCACGCACCACCCACATCCCCACCGAGGTCTAGATCTAGACCCATCCCTCAATCATCATACTTAGTCTAGTTGTCTCACCGCACCAACCAACATCAATCCCGATAAAGAAGATGATGAAGAAAGAAACCAAGAAAGATTTCAATAAGGTGATGCAACCACCCACAAGCAAACAAGAAAACGAAACACAACAGGAATAGGTAATTTCCTAAGTGTAGTGTAGTGTAGTGTAGTACTTCTTTCACCGCTAAACCCAAAGCCACATCCTCCCGGCAAGGATGATACAATATACGTAGTAGCTATCTGGGAAATAGTAAGTAGTAAGTAGGGGATATCGATTCCCAATCTAGTTGCTAAACTACGTAAGGTAGTCAACCGTTGTTGACCGGCTTACAGATACCGACCCCGTGGGATAAACGGTCATTCTATCATTCTTTTCTTTTTCCCTGTATTTTTTTTTTTTCAACGGTCGCGAAAAGTTAAAGTCTAAAAGATAAAGATATTCCATATCGGTCGAAATCCCTGAGTAATAATTAAGTAGTGGTGGTGGATATTTCTACCCGCCGCGGGAATAATCCAAGAAAGATAACTTACCTCCATCCCACTACTTACGGCATACATCCCCAATACCTGCTCTTCTCCAATACCCCCTTCCACTCGAATAGGAATATATCCCCCACACCCACACTATTTACCTTTTTACACAATGGAAAACAGAGAAGAGAAAATAAACCTTAGATCAACGGGCGTAACCATGACCAACTCTTCCCCTCGTGTGTGCCGATCACACCAAGTAACGTAACTGTACAACCGGACTCCCTCCGTACAAGAAATTCATTCCCTCACCGCCAGTTCACGGCCCCCCTCTCTCTTCGGTAGTTAGTTAGTAGACTAGCGGGAACGGAAGGAAAAGGAAAAGGGAAAAGAACAGGGAAGGGAAGGGAAGGGAAGGATAAACGGTAAACGGTTGCCGTGACACACAGGTTTAATTCTCACATGCAATTAGCCGATGAGATGAGATGAAGAAGAAGCGGAGCTTGAGAAGGATGGAAGGCTGGAAGGCTGGAAGGCTTCTGGAACGAGGGGATCCTTGTTTCTTTCATGAGGTGGACTCATAGTATACGTATTCCCTAGATAAGGTAAGCAACAAAGTGTTCCATGAAGGAATGAGGAATGAGGATTGATAATACCTATCTAATTGGTGGGATTATTTATCATCGGATATTGTCCGTCAGTTAGCTTTCATCCTCATCCTTATTCGCGTCCTTCATTATTTATCCATTGCCTAGTGGATACTACAGTACTCCTACTTCAAACTGTGTGGTACCGACATCTCCCGATAACATTACTACCTTCCTTATGGATCATACTTCGTTATGGATCATACTTCGTTACGAAGGAATGAATGAAATATATTCCTATCCCATCAACACGTGGACAGCACACCAACAAATATTTCCAAAGTAGTAGGTAATATATCCTGCCGAATCCCGACCGACCGCGCAACAAGCGGCTTCCTGAATATTATCATTTTCTGATATTATCATCTCCTAAATTCCATCAGGATTCATCATCACGAAGTAGTAGCAGCTAGCTAGCCAGCTAGCATGTGTCATGAAGAGTAAATATGTAACTAAATAGTTCCGTGTTAACCGATCTACCCGGTCAGACAGACAGACAGACAGACAGACAACACCCCCACTTGTTTCGAGGGTAGTAGCTTATCATAATTGGATGGATGATGGATGATGGAACGATGGAATGTTCGTTAGGCTTACTAGTACGTAGTATTATCTGCTCCTTATTTACTTTGGGTACCCAACCGACTAACCAACACTGCAGCAGTGCAGTGGTGTCACATCTGAGACAATCTGAGTAATAATATTATGGGTTAGTTAGTTAATTATAATATGACAGGGATGAAAATGATTATTGATATTATTAGATATTAAACCAGGAAAATAGATGATAGTATTTCTAATCAACCACTGCGTGGAAACGTTCCAGAACACACACTACTACTGACACTGACTTACTGGTTGGTTTGCTACCCCTCCGTGTCAATGTGGGATGAACATTATTATTATTGTTATTATTATTATTATTATTATTATTATCTTTATCGTCATCATGATGACGGGGATGTCCGGTTGTACGATAAGGCTTTATGTATGTATGTATAGATGTATGTGCTTATCTAGAATTTCTAATCACTCATTGAGTCATTCATTGTTTATTTGTAGTGGATTAAGAATAATTATTCAACTAGTTAAAATATTTATTATTTAAAGGATATCCAAAAAAGTACTACATTCAACTGCTGTGTCACCACTTCAGGTTGGTGGTTACATGGCCGACGGACGGTGGGTTTGTGGCTATTACTATCTTGTGCGAGGGTAAATATATTTATCGATTTGTAATGAGTGGGATGAAGTGGCTTATACTAGTATGTAGCATATTTACGGTGTACATGCCAAATCTGATTACGGAGTACTATGCCGTGGCTAATTATATCCATTTACTCTCTCTGAATATAACCGAGATAGTAAACATGAAGATTACAGTCACAATCACGAGTATATCCTAACCGCCCTTGGCGGATTTGCCACCCCGAGGTAGTAGTAGCAGCAGCAGCAGCTGTCAAGATGATCGGTGTCAAGCGACGTGCCAGAAATATGGGGTAAATGTGGATGAATCCATGTCAACGTGTCCATCATCATCATCGTCATCATCATCATTCTCAATAAACTCCGACCGCTATCATACCCGATGGAACCCTAGCATCATTTCCACAAGGCTGAAAGCGTTACGAAGTCTCAGCAAACGAATCGAGCAAAAGAGTGATGCTTTCATCGCGGCTCTGCGATGAGGCTCCAATAATACGACTCCTACTCATGCTCTCTGTGTAACACGCGAGTGATTACCTGCTGACCCGTACGGCCTTCCCCATCTGGGGATCGCAATCCGCGGCGTCTCCGCGTGTCCGTGTAGATGGTCGAGAATGAAACGTCAGCGCAAGCACTGCCCGCCCGCACGTTGCACCGTCCAACCTCACTTTCGTAACCAGACGGAGTATAATGGCCTTGTCTACAGACCCCCCGCGTAGGATGACTCCTGTAGAGATTAAGCGGTCGGTCACTGCATGGAACAACGGAGCGCATGTCGATATTGAACGCTATCGTAAGCTTGATAGTCGTGGTCAGATGGACATGAGAGAAAGGGTAACTCTGGTGTCAACAGCAGTAAATGACGACGCCCACCAACAATAAACCTGCTTAAACTGCGGAGTTGCCGATTATGTCGCAGGTGGCGGGAATAGAACGAAACGAGTCAAGGCATAGTGACAGACTGACTCAACCGAGCGCATGGACTCCGTGCCGTCATGTCGATAGTACCTCCCTTTGACCTCTGGAGACGGCCCTATCCGGAGATCAGTTCCAAGCATAGTATCACTGTGTATGTCAACTCAAGCCACCTGTCCCCGCTCACCCTCGCCACATACCTCGCCTCACTCTGTATATAGCCAGATAAATATACCACACATTCCAAATGCGACGCCACACATATGATCGGTCTCCCCCCGTGCGAGCCACAGGTCGAGGATCAACCGGAAAAGTTGTCTCCGGACTGCTCAGAAAGACCCGTCGCAGGGTCGTGGATCCCCAAGCTGGGTAGCTCTAGTTGCCAAACCGGGAACCCAGTGCAGACGGAACCACAGCCAGGCATCCGTCTGCTACATCCGCTGCGAGGAGTACACCTTATTTTTCAATCCGTGCTCCGGGACCCGTTCCCCGTCCCAGAATGTGGTGCAGCAGATGTGGTCCTCCCCGGACGGTGTGGTATGTGCTTTCTCCATCCCCACATACTCCGGGGAGCAAGTAGTACCTTTAAACTCCGCGCAAGGCCGTGGGCGGGGCAGCCAGGGTGTGCGTTGTGAGGAGTCCAAGACCACGCTCCTGGATCTTCAGTCCTAGCTTCTAGTGCCTTTCCAATGTTTCATCCATAATTGAAGGATGGAGAGGGCACCCCCTTCCCCCGGTCGGCGATGCAAAGTCCCCATTCCCAATCAAGACGAAACCACCATGAATGGATGCATCAATTTTCAGATGCCTAAGGTAGTCCAACCCAAGCGCTAGATCGATAACAAACACCACAAAGGTTGATTGTTTCGCCCGACCAACGAAAACGATGGCATGGCATCATGAGAACCAATAACGGGGGAAGCGGTGAATCACCGCTGTTTGGGAGCTTTGACAGTCCCTGCAGACGCAGTACCGCAGATTAGCAAGGTGGTGGTAGTAGGAGGGAGGGAACAGTGCAGAATACCGCCCATGGAGGGGTAGCACCGAGGCATCACCACGTAAGCTGGGAGCATGCCTTGCATGACGAGCTGTGGGTGGGTGGAAAATGCAGGAGGGTATCCGGGATCATGGGATGACGATGGACAAGGGGGTCAGCACCAATCAGTTGGATGGATCGCCTCGATCGGGGATGCATTTTGCATTTTGCAGTACCCAAAGTCGGGGGACAGTCTGGAATGTTAGGCTTGCATACGCGGATGTACCTGGGTGGAGAACTGGCAAAGTAAGTCCATAAGTAAAGTACAGGTGTACCCCAGAGTGGGATCCGGAGTACTTCTGGTCAAGGAGACCAGGAAGTATTCGGGAATGTACTTATGTATGCAAGTGCATACGTAAGTAAGCTGTACACAATCTAGGAAATGTGCAGCTGGAGTGGAATGCACATGCACAGAGAGCTATGGAGAGATAGTCGTCATTGTCGTCATCATCCTCCTTCATCGAGATGATGATCCATTCAGAGTGAGTGGATGTATCTTCAGGACCAGCTGAAGGTATCCAGTACTTTCCTGCTTGACTTCCACCCGCGGCGAACTACTGCAGCCACCGGGGCCGGGGGGAGATGTCCGGCTCACGGTGCACCCTGAAGAACCTGCGATACTTTCCCCAAAAGCAAAAAGGGGGCAAAAGTTCCTCCCCATGCTCTCTCCAGTCTTGGTCCGGCAGTTCGTACCGCGGTTCCGCGGGTCTACCCGCGTCGTGTTCTCCAAAATAGTGCAGTTGATGAGTCTTAAAGGGCCGCGAGGGGGAGCAAATACGGAAGTACTTTAGGCTGGCGGGGAGCTCAGAAAGCTACCGGATTGGGAAGAGACGATCCTCTGATCCCAAAAGGGGAAAAAATACTTTTTATTCATTTACTTCATCCCAAAAGGGACGATCGCTGGGGCGGTGGAGACCATCCAATCCAGCACGGCGGTTCGATCATTCATCGGAGGCGGGTTCCGCACTCCCGCGAGTGAAAGAAAAGCAGTTGTGCATGAGCAGACTATTGACTGAGTGACTGACTGATCGTGGACTATCATTGATCTACTTCTATCTGATCATTTGCTCCCGGGGAAATTAGGGCCGAGGGTCTAGAGCCGTCGACAGGTAAGTACCTTTTCATTTACCCGTCAGTCAGGTTCAAAGACAACGGAAACCCTCTTTAGCAACCGAGGTCTGGGCGCCGGCATCGGGTGTGTTGCTCCCAATCACCCGGTCGGGGCCATGTTACTCGTCAACTGACGGACTGACAGGCCAGGCTTTCTTGTCACAGTTCAATCAGTCCCGCTGGGCCGTTTCATTGTCCACCTGATAGCGCCAATCAGCACCGGTAGTACTAGCAGCAACAGTAGCAACCACCACAAGATGAAGCCATTCAAGAACAATCAAATAACTAGTGTGCTTGTGATGGCTTGTGATGGCTGGTGCCCGGTCGGTCAAAGCGTATGCTATTTCAGAAAGAAAGAACTGAATCACATCTTCATTATTATTGGTAGGCGTTCTGGGCATGGTGTTGGTGTGCTCGTGATGATACTTTAGCATCGCACTCGTACTTTGTCTGGGATGATCATTAGTTGTGTCGGTTTGATGCTTTTCACACTGCATCATGTTTGTTAGTTGTGGAGCTGAACTGAGACAGACCATCGGCCAACGTACTTCACACAAAGGTAGGTTGGTAGGTAAGTTGTTAGTGACTAGCTGGGATCATAATTTAATGAGGTTCTTTGGCGCGACTACTAGTTCCAGGGGTACATATGCAAAGAAGTCTAGAATTAGATCATTCATTCGTTCAGGTCCACTACAACCAACGAAGTAGTACAAAGTACACTGTATGAAATTAGTAGGATGCATTGCATAGTGATTGATTGATCGCGACCCAGAATTGATAAAGCACACTCCGCTTGTTTGATATATATCTCTTTCTTTCAAACACATATTGCATGCCAGCATGTGTACTCCGTAGGTATGCATCGCATCGAGTCATTCATCCATTCATTCGTTGTCCATTTAAAAATAGTACCACTGATAAGTACTACTGCAGTAATCGATGCACTGCATACACAATGCCATCCGTTCATCCATCCAGCCCCAACTCTGAAACACGCTGTCCCCTGTACGACTAGTCAGTCATCAACAACAACAAAACGCTCAGCTGATCACAGGATGGCCAGCGATCCAGCCCTGCGTGTGCCTTGTCAGAATTAGACTACTACTACTACCTGAACAAAGGAAAGAAAATACTAGTTGGTAACTAAGGAAGGGGTGGATAAATCCAAAGCCCCCCAGATGCCGAGGCACTATCCCGCCCGGCAAGGCTAAAAACTACCCGCCTAGATTAACCGTGCATTTCGCCTCTCGACTCTAACAAAGCGCGACGGTCGGAGGAAGTACTACTAGTAACTAGTGTGATTTTCACCAGCTAGGCTGGACTCACACAAAGAGTAAAATCATTCTTTTTGCCTACTGTAGTTTAGGCGACTGTTGGATTTGAATATGTAGTTATCCGAAAGAAGTGTATTCCCGTTGTTGATGATTTCTTTCACAAAGTTGCCTGGTCTGGCCATTTTTGGTGACTGGACGTGACTAGTTCGCGGGCTGAAACGGACAACTGCCGATGAGAGGGAGGAAAAGGGAGGAGGCATGGGGGGCCGTTACTGCTTCGCCTCCCCCAACTTACTGGCTGTACGGGGGGCAGGGCAGAGCAAGGCAGGGCAGGACAGGGCAGACTGCGACAATTCAGACAGTGGATGGAATCTGGGGGTGGTGCGGCCCGTCAGATCAGATTTGGGGCAGACAGACAGACAGGCACAGCTAACTTTGATTCTATTGATGCCAGCAAATAACTATTTACAAGACGAAATGTAAGTCCCTACGCGGGTCCGAAGGAGTAAGGATTACGGAGCGGATAAATGGGCTTGGCGATGGTACACAACGTCCGGGGTAAAGAAGGGTGATAAGTAAGTAGTTAGTATCTCGGTTGAAACGCGTGGGTCGCGGGGGTGGGTGGATTGTTGAACGGGGAACCACACGTCTATGTACTCTGGGTCGTCCCAGGGAACACAACTGTCCCCGGGACACGAAATAACTTGACAGTAACGGATCCGGGGTCGGATCCGTGCAAGATAGGTTCCATGGTTGGGATGTTGAAATAAGAAGTTGTGCGCCGCCTATTGTTTAAGGGGATACTTACTGTAGAGTCTATCATCTTGTGAAGTGTATTGTAGAGTGTAGCGGCTTTCCTATCAGGTTCTGATGGAGAAGTGGACATACACAGCCGGAGTAAGGTAGCAGGGCATAAGGGAATACCCGGGATCCACCGCGGATACCGCGCATGGATTAGGTACCCGACTACTTACTTTGCTTCCCGGGGGGCGGCTATGTGGTACTGAATGACCCTCTATCGAATTACTTTATTTCCTTTTCCTTTGCTTGCTTATTTTTGCCTTTTTTTATTATGTACTCCGGTATCGCGGCACGAGCTGATAACAATAATCAGATGTCGCAAAAAAAAGGAAACCCAATCAATCCTCGTCTTGTTTGCCTCGAGAATTCAGCACTGCCAACAATCCCATGTCCATGTCCGTCTCAGCCAATTTCTGAGACGCCCGCCCGGGTGTTTGCCTGCCTGACCGCCAGACCACCACCACCACTCCCAGGAAGAAACTCATGTTAGAAGGGAGTTGAAGGGGAGGGGAAGGGAGGGATGGGATGAGTTGTAAAACCAACGCGAGATGCACAAAGCCTAAACGCATTTGAAACCATCTGAGTCACTTGGACCCCAAGCAGTGCCGGTGCTAACTAGTTTCTTACTATTTTACTTTTCCATTTTACCCACATAGTACATGCCTACTACCGTTATCGCCAGATGTATATACATACTTGCATACTCATACAGACGGGCGGATGTATGTCGACATCCATCGGAAGCATGCTGTGGTGTTAGTTGCTGCGAAGATGCCAACAACAGACTGAAGCGGTGAGGTCAGAGCGTGCTGATTCGGTCGCGGAATTAGGGGGGTGGTGATGATGATGCTGTACATTGGCTGCAGGGAGGGGAAGGGGGGATTGGTCTGAATGAATCGTTGGACTGACCGACAGATGGCTGATAACCTGGTAAACTACACAGACCGCAAGAACCCGTTGCGAGATGCACGAGAACCCAACACCGCTTGTCGCATTGTGCTGAGGATATCGCGGATCAAAGCGTTTTTTTTATTCTTGATTTTCGTGTCGGCTACTGTATGCCGGTACTGGACTTACTCCTGGTGGTGTTTACGTAGCGGAGGAGACAGCAGGGCGGGGTTGTGAATAATCATTCAGTTAATCGATTATCTTACGGTGTACAGCCTGCCTGCCAGGTTGGAAGTATGAAACATCCGCCCGAAAAAATAATAATCAATATTGGGGGCAGACGGAGTAATTCACATTGAGGCGATGTTTCTCATTTAAATTAATATCGTCAGCCGCCGAAAAACAACACCAAATAGAAGGATGGATGGATGATGAGCCCCCACTGCCAGTCAGTCACTTCGGTCGGGTATGGGGGAATATTTACCGGACCCGTATCATGTCATCCTTTCGACTACTAACTAATTACAGTAATACTACTACTAAAACTACTAAGATTATGAGTATTGTTAATGCAAGTATCTACAATGTAGTAACTGCTACTCCGTACAGTGCACCCAGTTGTATATTCTCTAACCTGGTATTATTCTGCACTTAGCAAGATGCCAATAAATCTGGGGTCGGACGAACCAAAGAATCAGTTACGGAGGTGCCACTGATAGGAAGTCCGGAGATGTGGGAGAAATCGGAGGGAGCAGTGGATTAAGTTGACTCATTCTTTGACACTTGATCCATCCCCACGCCAGTTCCTTTACCCTTTTTCCACTTCTTCCCTTTTCTCGCCCCCCATCCGAAGCTCCCCGGGCCGCGGACCGGAGGAGCGAGCAAATCCGCCCAGAAATTAAATTAAAATGGAAGAACAAAAGAAAGCCGATAGATCCACGCCCTGGACCGGGGGTCTGGCTGTCAGATTAGGGTCGAATCCACCCGATGGGAATAAATCATAATAATAGATAAATATGTACCTTTAGTCCCTGGTCCGATGATGAGTTTCAGGAGTTCATTGCTACATCGCACTGGACTGATCAACTCGAACATCTATCACTTTTGACAATAGTACCATTCACCACCGTTCCTATCTACTACCGACTACTGATCACAGTAAACAATACTAGTACTAAGCCACTTGGTACTTTCTACTGTGATTGACATACCGCCGCGACACCACCGACATCATCAACATACCTCCACACATTTTCCACACATACACATCCAACTTGTTTACTTACCTACCATCCATTACTACTACTATTACTCCAGTGGTAGTAGTACTTGCTGTCTCGTGTCCAACCACTTTGATTGCTGCTTCATCCATCGAACAGCGACCGGAACGCCCCTTCCGCCTGATCGCCGCGCTTGACACGCAGGATTACCAGTGGATGCTTTGCTTTCAGGCCAGCATTGCGGAAAATTCCAAGTGATTTCTGGCCGCTTTGTCGGGCTGGTGACTGGTAATTCCCCAGTGGGGCGACGCGCTCAACCCAAACAAGGGAATTTCTTACTTCCACAAAAAAAGAAATTCGATTTTCGATTTTTTGATTTTCTGAAAATCAGAAAATTGAATAAATCGAATTAAATAAATCCGAAGAGGGAAAAAAATCGGATTTGCTGCCAACCCCCCACTCCACACCTCCTTCTTCGTTCTCCACGACGCCTTATCTGTTGGGAGATGCAAGGGAGTCCAGACGCCTCCCCCGATCGATCTGGCCCTTCTTCCATTTATACATTCACCTCATTTTCCTCTCTCCGCCATTTGATCAACCGGTGGAGTGTTCCTTGATCAGCGTCAATCCCCAGATACTCCTCTCCAAGCTTATTTATTTATCTGACTTCCCACTCCTCCTCTCTCAACTCTTGGGTCTTGACCTCCCCAGACCGTGTCGATCTTCTTCAACTCCACTCATCAAACTACTGTCACAGAGCTAGTACTAGTAGTCATACTACTTATACTTTCTGCATCGCTCTGGACAACACCGAGATTCACTCACATTACTATCACCTACTACACCTACTACTACTACCACCACTTACTACTGATAACACCTCTTCTCACCATGTATCCCTTTCTTCCCTGGAGTCAGAACCAGTCTAGTGTTCGCTCCTCTCTGAGCGAAGCCACCACTAGCACCCAGAATGTCTCCTTCAGCTTCAGCTTCGGCAGCTCTTGCTCACCTACTTCGATGCCGCCTCCCCCACCACCTTCTCCCACTGATTCCTTGCTCGACATTACTCCTCGCAAGTGCTCCTTTTCTAGCGGCTATGAGATGAACAACTCGTGCGCATTCCCATCTTGGCCCAACCGCCCTTCTCTGCTGAGTGCAGACTCGGAGGGCTCCAGTGCCAGCGCCTACCTCTCCGACGAAGATCTCCTCCCCATCGGCTCTGGCTCCCCCTGCGAGAGTGCGATCGACGAAGAATCCGCCGCGCAGGACCCGACCATGGGAGACGTTGACCTGACCACCGAGCAGCAGATCCAGATGATTCGCGCCGCAGCGGAAGAAGAAGCGCAGCGCGCGCGTTTCCTTGCTCAGGTGCAGGCCCATGCGAGAGCACAGCAGGCCATGCGGGTGGCACAGATGGCAGCGGCAGAGCGCGAGAACGCAAAGCGCAAGAAGCGCAAGGCCATCCCCGAGAGGAAGCGGCGGACCGCATCAGCTTCGAAAGCCACCGTCTGCCGCGCCTAAGAGACACCGAAAAGGGTGTCATCTTCTCTTTACTCCTTTCCCTTCATTGTAACACCAATACGCCAAACCATCTACTTGCGCATGTCATGATACCCCACGACTTCGTCACCCCACGCCAACATTTTGGTCCGATTTAGCCGGAGATTAGGGTTGTCGAATGATCGACGCCGATCTGCCTCCAGCTCAGCTGTCCAGAAATGCGACAAACACGTCTATCTGGTTGCTTTCCTCTTTACTTTTTTTTTCTTCTTTCAACTATCTTATCCTTCTTATTCCCCTTTTTGGGAAGCCCCCGATCTGAGTGGTTGTCGCAAAATACAATCAGTCAAGGTCCCCGCCACAATGACACACTTCTGGCACTGATGCTTGTGAGGTCGAGACATCACAAGGCTCGGACTTTCAATAACAGGGCCATGAATTAGCATGATCGGGCATGGGACCGGGGGAATATGACGACAGAGGGTGCACGTGCGACGAAGGAGTGGGAGACGAAACGAGGAGAGATAGTTGGTAGGCGCCGTAGCCGGGCGGAATTGGCAGGCCGGAGTTGCGTCTTCGCGGCCTCTGATTTGGTGCCCGAGCTTGGCTGCCTGATTACCTAATTTCCCTGTCGCAGTCGGCGCATTTGATGGAAATTGGGGAACATTCCCCTCTCTGGCTGCTGCTGCTGCTGCACGCTGGACAGGGCCCTCTGCTGCCTATCATTCTTCACAACCTCACCGCCATTGTCAGGGCACGCTCTGATCGCATTCCCTTCCCCTACGGATGGTGACTCACTCCGATCATGCTGGCCCAAAGGGTCATGGCACGCGCTTGGATACTCGCTTCACGTTGCGCACTATGTCTTTCCTTGCTTGTGGTTCTTTGTCTCTCCGGTTTCTTTTCTTTCCCCTCTTGTCCACCGGGTTTCTTTACTCTCTTAATCATTGTTCCGTTTCATGCGTTGTCGCGTCGGTGTTGGTGGTCATGGATTTAGCAACATTTCGGGATACCAGACCCAGATTCCCCCTCAGCTGGGTTTCGTCAGTGGTTTTGCTTTTTCTTCTTTACTCGCGATTTCCGATCTAATTATTGCCCCTTTCTTTTTGTCACTTTTTTTTTTTTTTTTTTTTTTTTTTTTTTTTTTTTTTTTTTTTTTTGTTTTCAGCGTCGGATGTTCAGATACCCCGTCTTGTATGCCATCATGTTGTTTCCTGGCGCTTCCTTAGTTTCGTTTTCCCCTTCATTCTCATACCCCGAGCGTGTTACACAGAACAGCTCCCGCGTTACTTTAGATGGATTGCATATTGCATAGCTCAGCGACATACCCCATTAATTCATGCAGCGATGGTCTTTGTTTCACTACTTGATTGTCTTCCTATTTCCTATTTAGTATGGTAATACTTAACTACATTCACATCATGTGAATGAACGAATCAATGAACAATAACCACCGAAAATGAAGTGGTCAATAATAACAATGATTATATCCTTTCCTATACCACCTAACTGTAACTACCATTACTAGTTAGATCCCACCTGAACAGATGACTCAAGTACCTGCACGGGTATATCCGACGCAAATCCCATTAGTTCGACATCGACATCCTAGCTGATAAACACTACTAGTAACTAGCGACTCCTGTAACAGCTGAGTACTACATAGTACATATCCCCGCTGTACTTTAGAGCAGAGAAAAAAAAAAAAGCAAAGCTAGGCAGCACATGCAGCAGTTAGCAGTTAGCAGTATAATTCCTTTTTTTACTGCCATCAGCCAGCCAGCCACCATCTACCTAACCACACACAAATTGGTACCTATTTACTATGTCTTTCATATAACTAGTGTACTGGGAAAATAAGTAGTAGTATATGCTTTGTTTTTCTATTTATGTAGTTAAGGTACTTATTTTATGACTATGGTCGATTGGTGATCTGTGCTGAATGAAGAGTGTCAGCAGTCTCATCACGAGACAACTGGAGATTGGAAACTATTGATTTTTATGGCATTACCCCTCGTTTTTATGGCGGTGCTGATGTCAGGCAATTATTGATTGTAGTCTATCTATCGGTGATGAGTGAGGGGTTTTGTTGAAGCTTTCTTGAGGGTGGGGCTGAGGGGTTTAGGGATTTGGAATGGTATGGATTGGAAGCATAGGATGTTGAGATGAGATGAGGGATATACTTGTGTTGGTTGGAGGATGTGTATGGATTAGGATAGGATACTAGGTGTGATAGTACATTACAGAAATGAGGGTGAAGGTAAGGTAACATAAACTGACAGCGCTAGAAATAAGAATGGAGAATAGAATTGGTTCTAGAGTAGTGATATTAAGTAGTACATCATTTATTAACCCATCTAAAGCCATGTATAGGTATAATCAGACCTGATATAAGTTACGTGGTAGGTATTCTATAACCCCCTCATCAACAACTCCTCTCCCACCTCCTTGATCAACGGCTCCTTCGCTACATTCGAAAGATTCTTCTTCGCAACTACCGTTTCTGCAATTCCCATGGCCTTGCAGAGATCCACGACCGCGCTGTCCGGACTAGCTTCGTAGACGAGCAGTCCCAGAGCGAAGAGAAGCCCGTGGAGTGCCTCCTGGCTCTCTTCTTCCTGAGCGATGGCTTCCACGAGTGACGCGGTCAGCTCGACCTGGTTTTCCTCGGACAGGGGGTCGGCGTGGCCGGCGAAGCGGGCGTTGTGGTTAAGCGCGGCGAGGTTGTAGGCGAGGGAGGCGGCGACGACGCGGAGGTTAGTGTGGGAGTCGAGGAGGGAGGAGGTGGTGAGGTGGAGGAGGGTTGGGAGGAGAGAAGAGGAGGAGGTAGCGAGTTGGTCGCGGTAGAGAGGGGTGGAGAAGAGGGTGCAGCAGAGTTGGAGCATGACAATGCGGAGATTGTAGGGGCATTTGGAGAGGCCGGCAGATGGGGATAAGAGAGTGAGGAGGGTCTTGTGGTCGGGCTCTTCGGCAAAGTAGCTGGATACGCGGGGGTCGAGGAAGAGCAGGCGGGTGAGGTCGACGAGAGCGAATAGATGGTCTAGGGCTAGAGAGCCGTAGGTGGTTTGTAGATAGGTGGCGAAGGTTGGGAGGTCTTGGGGTAAGGGGGTGTCTGCTGCTGGGGTGGAAGAGGAGGTGCGGTGTTTCAGGTAGGTGATCATGGAGAGGAGGCGGGGGTCTTCATGGTGAGGGCTGAGTTTCTGGACGAGCTTGTCAAGAGGGGGTACTTTCTTGTAGGTGACATAGTTGGAGATGGGGCGTTGGAGGCTAGGGAGACGGAGTTGCTGGTGACGATGGG